AGAAGATATGGTGCCATATTTTTCATACATCTGGAACAAATACTCCAATTACTAGATTTTGAGAAATTAAATACAAATACAAGAGAAACACAAATCAGTTACAAATGAAAGCAAGCAAGAGATTTACAGATAATGAAATATATTCTTTCTTAAAGCAAAGGTAACAACAAGATGCTAGGGCAATAATGAATTTTTAAAAGACCAATGTTGAATCAGATGGCCTTTATCTCCCTCAGAAATGTTTCCTTGGCACTTTTTTCTCATACTTTTCCAACACCCTCAGGGATAACATGGGACAAAGACCTCCAATGAAAAACCACGTAAAACAGTACAAGTCCTGTAATTTATAGTAATGAAAAACAGTTTTTCTAGGATATGTCATGAAATGGGTCTGTTGCTCTGTCCTGTACACTAACAGAGACCATTTGAGCATCACGGATTACAGTTTAAATTGTCTACATAGATATGCATGGTCAAAAGAGAGGAGATGACATGAACTTATTTCAGAAATCATTAAGTAGTTAGACAAACTTCCAAACTTTTCTGGAAGTTTGTTGATCTGCTGGAATGTGTTTTCTGGGAACATAAGGATCTTTATTTATGCACTGTAGAGAATTACCCACTTTTAACTTGGCCTAGATATTTTTTTAGTAAGCAGACAATTACATTGCCCTGTTAAATAATTTTGACTCTGAATCTTCTGTGAAGGAAGATGTGTGTTGTACTCTGCATATGTAAGCACTTGATCACCAGATCACAGCACAAAGTTTATGAAGCCCTACATATCTGTACTGTAATTGACTGGGTTCTTTACTTTTACATTAAGTTTAGAATACAATGGGTTTTTTAAGTATTTTATTGATGGCTTTCATCCCAGTTTGTGCAATTGTGTAAAGGGTTAGTTTTAAGGTTAGTTGGAAAGTAAAGTGTGTTGCAGATGCATTTGCACAGATGCCATGGTCTTACTCTATTTGTTCTCTTTAAATATACTTATATGGTAACATCAGCACCTCAGTTCATCCAGAGTTAGCCAGGAGGGAGAGAGAGAATCCAAGCAAGTCATGGTATATGTCAATTCCAGCACTCTCTTAACTGTCATATTGCTGCAGACTTTGTCATTTCACTTTCATTAGATTTAACTACTTAGTTTTCCAAAGCAAATGTAGCAAATTCAGGGATTTGGCAAACCATAAATACTAAGATCACTTTTGGGAAGATGCTATTCAGTGTTCATTAAAGACTGAACTGAGGGAGTAAATGAAAAAATCAGACACTGAAGCACATTCTTAGAACTGTGTGTTGTTTATCCCAGGGAAGGAATGAAAGTATTATTTGTATTAATCACTACCTGTCACTGAATTGTTTCTCATTAAGAAAACTCATGCTATTTGTGTAACCTTAAGTAAACACAGAAAGGTTATTGCTTTATAAACTACCTGTTAAAACAAATACACATCACTAAAAAAACAACACAGGGATGTTTGTTATTACTGTGGACTGTGAATAGAAGGAAAATGAGGCAGACAGAACCAGGTGTAAAAACCTGATCTTTATGGCTACACTGGTGCACTTCACTGTATGCAGTGAGGGAACACAGTACTATTCTGCAGGGGATAAATATCAGTGAAGAACTTAAAGGTCCAAGAAAGAAAAGGGACCATGTTGAGAGGTCAAGTATGTTTGATGCTAACTTCAAATGCATTCAGTAATGAACAGAGAGGCAGTAATGAGGACAAAACAAATAATCTATTCAGACGTTTTAGGCATCATTAGTCAAGCCAGTGGATATGATGGCTGAACTAAAAAACTCAAGGAAAACAATTAATTTTGGATCATCCCACATTTTTTTCATTTTCTCCCCAGCAAAACAATAAACTGAGAAGGGGGTTGACCAGAAACAAAACATTTGTCTTCAGTTTATTTAGTCTCTCTTTATTTTAGTTTTGTTACTTAAATTGGAAGTGAAACCTTGATAGTTTTGTTCTGAAAATGCTGTAATGAAATGTTTAGTCTTTCTCAAATATATTTGGTTTCTAAATATTTTTTTCTGAAACCATTTATTTCTACGCAATTTCGTAAATACTTTTATTCTCCCTTTACGATGTGTTGAACTAGTTAATCACATTCTCCAGTGCCAGTATTTTGCTGCCCAGGAACAAAGACCACTCATGTTTTTTCCTTTCATCTTCTTAATTGAAATGCATAATGCCTCATCACCAAAATACTTTACTGTTTCCCATATTAAAAAATGCTCTCCATGAAACCTCTTCCCTTTTCCTCCTGGATAGTAAAGCAACAATGAGAAAATGAGAAATCAGTATAGTTAATTTTAAAAGTATGTGCAGGAGTGAAAAAAGGTGAAGTTGAAGGTGTGGGTTTTGTATGTGATACTGAAATTGGCGGTATTTGGCTATCCTTTCTGAGTTTCTTCCTTCAGTGAGCAAGTGGGGGAATGCAACTGGTGCAATCCCTCGAAAGAAAGACAAGTCACTCCAAGACAGCATCAACCTGACACAGAGTTTGTTTTCCAGGTTCAAATTCCTGAATGAAAAAGGGTGGGGAATGCATATATTGTTTAGCTAGTACAGATGGAATGGCACTAAACCAAATTCTCTACAGTAATGATAGCTGTGGTCTGCTGAGTTTAGCAGCAATTTAATTTTTTCCCCAGGACATACATTATCTATATATATTTTTTACTCCTTGATATAGTGAGATGCAGTAATTAAACAAATCCACAGACAACCCACAGGCCACTACAGAGTTCCACGATTCAATGTACTAGTCCCAATGTACAATTCAATGGCTAGTCCCAGACAGAAGGATGAGAAGTATTTTAAAACCAGGGATAATTTGGACAGCTGCTCTCTATAAAGTCAACAAGATCTTAGTAAGTCTATTAGTTTGACAATGGAAAGACGCACATCCCAAACGAGGACAAAAAAATGCAAGTTCATTTTTATTAATTTTTTTTGTGAGGACTTTTCCCTCTTTTCAGACAAATGATCTCAAGCTTTCCTAGATAGAGCTTTAGTTGTTTTGCTACAGTGAGCAATCCTGAAGGGGACTGTGCTAACTTCAGTGAGGATGGTGCCTTGCTTTGCTTCTGCAGTGGTTCTGTGTGGATATTTGATAAGAGAGCACAGGAATGAGCTGTTTGGGAAGCTGCAGTTGGGTGCCCTGGAGATGGAGGAAAGCTGTCCACTATGACTCAGGCACAGATGATACCTTAGCACAGTTCCCGTGTAAATGAATTGAGATAGAAGTATAATGTTTAGTTGCTAATTACATTTAGACTCCTTCGGAGAAGCCACCAAGATTTCTGTGAATGTACAGTTACAGGCAGTGATCAGGCAGAATTTAATCCATTGCTTTGCTCTAACAGGGGATGTAAAAGGAACAATTACTTACACAGCTGTGATTGCCCTTCTTCAAGGTTAAATTGAAGAATACAGATCCCACAGTTGCTCTTCACGTGAGGTGATTTTTCTTTGAAGAGTATTGAAAACGATTACATTACATAGCCACTTATTTATTTTTCTAAATTAAAAATAGTATATTTGGTTAATTATAGTGATTTATTTTTCATTAGTGGCATCTTTATCCTTCATAAGCCACATTAAAAAAAAAAAAAATAAATTGATACAGTAAAGTATCAGAAGATAAAACTTAGGAGAGACTTCAAAAGATTTTCTCATCATAGCTTGATTTGCCAGCAGTGACTTTTCACGGCAGAAGTTTGAACCTGTTTGTTCTAAAAACCCTCCATACCTTCCCCACATCACTTTATTCTAAAGCTTAAGTCCTTCTACCGTTGCAAAATTTTTCCTAGTGACTTGATCTAAATTTCACTTGATGCAATTTTAACCAATTACTTGCTGGACAGGGAGTGTTCTTGGGTTTTCATGTACACTCTCCCTCAGTTTGAGATCTTGCTAGTGCTAAGATTTTGCCATCTTGCAGTCCCAATACATTCCCTTATCCCTTGGTGCAGAAACATTCCTTAAACAAACATTCTGTAGCATAGGTTCATGAAATTTATTACTTCTCAGTAAGGACCCTGTTTTTATGTCCTTCATTTGCTTTTTTTTAGTCAATCACTCACAGATATTGTGGGTTTACTAATATATTACATCAAGAAAAAATACAAATTTTTTAATAGTTGGAACTAGCAAAGTGGATGTACACTACTGCAAAGAAGATGCTTCATGTAAAATAGTGTCATTTGCTGTAATTAGTTCTCTGTTCAAGATTGTTTCAAGACATGAAGAAGTATGGGGATGCTTATTGGGACATAATGCATGTGTGGATTCAGAAGAATGATCAGGAACTGACACTGAAAGAACTAAATAACTACCCTTTGCTACAGTGTCAGTACAAACAAGCAGTAGCTGAGGAATGTTACAATAATAGTATCATTTTACAACCAGAATTTCGAAGAAATCATGCTTTCATTAATGATATCCTCTTTTTTCTTCACATTATGTCTATTTCAGCTTTTCAGATTTGACCAGGTGTTTGTGTTTCCTTAATGTTTTCAGGAGGGGAAATGGCCTTGCTGTCACAATAGCGCTGGGACCACTACATTCCTCTCCTGTATTGCCAGGTCTGGTCATAGGAACCCTTTATTTGTTGAACAGCAAATGTAACACTGGTTTCTAAACATATAGTCAAGTGCTTTATATACACAACAATTAGCTTCTCAGCAGCAGCCAGCATGGTCTATATAGGATCCAATGGGAATATAGTGTTGCACTGCATCCTATCAAAATGAGGCACATTTAAATCTGTAAAATAGAATGCCACATTTTGGCTAGCCTGGGTGGCTTTTTATGGCTGAGTCATTTCATGATTTAGGCACCACATTTTAGGAGAATGTCATGAATACTAAAGTGCTTCTACAATGTCAAGGAGGCCTTTCTAGCTGTAAATTAAGAACATCATATTCATGACCAAACTATTTTTCTTTCTAATATGATACTTTTTCCTTTTCCTTTCAGGTGGAGAGGATTGTAGACAAAAGGAAGAACAAGAAGGGCAAATGGGAATATCTCATTAGGTGGAAAGGTTATGGAAGCAATGAAGACACCTGGGAACCTGAACATCATCTACTACATTGTGAGGAATTTATTGATGAGTTTAATGGACTTCATGTTACTAGAGAAAAGCGATCAAGACATGGGAAACAAGCCAGCGCTCCAAAATTTTTACGGGAAAGCAGAGGATCATCTGTTGAGAAAATCTCACATAGACCTTCTGAATCTGGGAAGCTTAAAGGGTCCACACACAAAAGAAAGAGAATTAATCCATCTCTTCAAAAACAGAAAAGAGGATATGCATCAAAGCCAGCATCTGCTAATGACAGGGCTGCTAAAACTGTGACTTACCGAACTACTCCCAGCGGTTTACAGATCATGCCACTGAAAAAGCCACACAATGGTCTGCAGAATGGAGATGGCAGTCATGAAAAAGATTCTAGACATTTTGGGAATGGCTCACAACAGCAAAACATGGATTTAAATGACCATGAAGGAGAACAGAATTTGCCCAGCGTGTTAGAAGTTAGTAATGATTCACCTGTTGTGAATGGAATTGGTATGTGATTTAAACAACTACAGTCTTTGGGAGGGGGAGGTTTTTAATTGCAGCAACTGCAAATAGAGGCTCCACTCATGGAAAGCTTATTGTCATGCTATACAAGTGATATGGTGAGAAGCACAAAAAAAGGTTTCACACTC